AACACTGGGCTCTCAAGCTGTACCAGAGCTTCCCAGCTAAGGGCAAGTCTCCGTGGCCTTTTGGAAGCTTTTGAAATATGCCTCTGACACCAGGAAGAGCGCCACATGGGTGCTTTTCTTCCCGTATTTAATCAATATTTACTGGAGAGCAATCTTCACCTACACTCTTTGTTACTCTCAGGAATTAAAGAACCACTGACTCTCTCCAACTTGCCACTTCAGGCCTCTGAGATGAGAGATTCGCTATTTGTGGTATGAAATCCTTCTCCTGTCTCCCAGAGCTTTCCGATTTCACCTCGGGGATAAATCAAAAGCGTTTCCATGCTGCTTATATTAGAGTGGCTTTTGTTGAAGAAACATGCTTTATAATTTGAGACGCTGGGACTTTTGTTTACAGACTGAATTAAGTACAGGTTGAAACTGTGGCTTTTAGACATAACATTGCAGGAGAAGCTTACGCTCTACCACGTAAGAAATCTTTCTCAAACTCCAAGAGACGGGCACCTCCAACTCAGTGAGCTGGGCAGACAGCATCTGTTCCTGCCTGCTGGCACACAGCTCAATGCTACGGCCACATGGCCCAAATAAGACCTCCAGGAGCTTAAGCCAGCGGTACTAGTGCCACAACTCTGATGTGCAGACAGGGCAGCCCAACGGGGAGTGCCCTGGGTCAGAGACTTGGAAGCAGAGAACGGAAACGGAGCATAGCTCAGATGATATTACGCTCCTGCTCTAAACCCTTCAGTGGTTCCCACTGCCTGCCGTGCGACACTCGGAATCCTCACGGGGGCTTATGATTGGGTCCCAAACTATTTACTCCTCCTCCTTACCTACTGGTTCCCTGCAGGTCTACCATGTTCTAGATGATCCAGGCTGTTCTGTCTCCCTGAACAGTTCAATGACGTCACCACCTCCACACCTCTGCACAAGGTGTCTCTCCCCTGAGATGCTCCAACCACTGCCTCCCTCAGATCTCATCCTAAGTGCCACCTCTTCTCTAGAACCTTTCCTGAGTTCTCCTCCAACCTCCCAGGCCTCCTCCGAGTGGAAGTGGCCTCAATCGCCATGACACTCTTGTAGTACTTCTGTAACCGCCCATGGTAATTATTTTCTAAACGGTGTGTCAGCAATTTGGGAATGTCTTTTCTTGCTGTCAGTCAGCATTAGCTGAGCATCTTCTGTGTGTCAGATGCTGTGCTGGGTGCCTGGGACATGAAAATAAATAAAGTCAAGGTTCTTGCCTTCAATGGGCTTATGCTCTAGTGGATGAGATGACACTAGGACAAAGGGTTATACCTAGTGCAGGGGGGAAATGAAATATGAAAGAGATGATGGCATTTTAAGTTGGGTCTTAAAGAGAAATGTGTTCCCTGGGCAAAAAATAGAGAGGAAGGAAGGGTTCTTCTAGGGGAAAAGAACATTATATACAGCAGTGCTTGTCACAGGTTTTACTGAATGAATAAAACAAAGGCCGGGAAGGTTACAGATTGGTTAGCCCCCTGCTCACTACTGTCTACATTTACTGAGTGTGTTCACGACTCCCATCCCTCACAGCAACCCCGAAAGTTAGGCAGCATCATCCTCATTTTATGGATGAGAAAACTGAGGCTTCCAATGCCCAAAACCCCAAAGCTATCAAGTAGCAGAGCGTGGCCAGTGTTCCTGATACTATAAGGTTGTACTAATGAGTTCGCCTTCAAGGACCTAAACATAAAGCAAACTCTTAGCTCTCTTCCTCTAAGCCTGGGTGGACCACTCTGGGCAGACCTCAAATACCCAAAAACCATCTCAGGGAACACATACTGCGAGGGAAGAAGAGAGAAGCAGCCGAAGCTGTGCTGCGTCCAGATTCTGGGAACAGCGAGGCCCTGTGTCTCCCTATAAACCTGATGTTACTCCTCTCACAGTATATGGTTTTAGTGGCCCCAAATGTGGGTCCTCTTTCCTAATATATAAACGGCAACCTGGAAAGAGCCGTCCAAAAGTCACCTCAGGCCAACTCAGGCTCATTAAAGCTCCCTTAGGGCTCTGAGAATTGAACTGAACCTCTGGCTTTCTAGGAGAAAGCACTTCGTTTTTGACAGAGTTCTCTTCCCTCCTTTTCTTCATCTGATCACTTGCTCAATTTTTCCCTTTCTAGTTCAGGCTTTTTCTGTAACTCCTGTATTGGGCATATGCTCTTCTTTTTTTCCCTCCTAGCTGAGACTATTATATCTTGCTATTGTCATGTTCCTTTTCCATTGAAAGCAATCAAAAATGAAAATCCACATTTCAGAACAGTGTCTATTAAATAGGCACCTTTTCATGGTTGGAAAAAAAAAAAAGACAGCACTCTCTGAGGGCTGACTTTCAGTTCTGTGTATCACCTAAAGATCAGACGCTTGGGTGAGACTTTTGCCTCTTCACAGGCCATTTGTATTTGGGTATTTGAGAGAGACGGCAGAAAGTCTCGAGTCAGAACCAACTTGTTTTAAGGAATTCTTCGTCGAAAGCATTGCTAATCAAAGTGTGGTCCTGAGACCAGCAGCGACTGCATCACTTGTGAGCTTGTTGGGAACGGAGACTCTCAGGCTCACCCCAGACCAGCTGAACCAGAATCTGCCGTTTTGCAAGATCCCAAGTGATTCATAAGTACATTAAAATTTTAGAAGCACTGGTCTAGAATTAAAATGAATTTGCTTTAATGAAACCACCCTGTAGCCTCCACGTGGACTTCTTTCCTAAGAAAGAAATCTCCGTACAGTAAACTCCATAGAACATCCTCCACCACGCTTTTCCACCCAAACTGTTTATTCATGGAAGAATTGTGAAATGATAAATCAGCTTCCAGAAATCACACTCAGCCTGAGGGAGTTCCAGATGACACAAAGCTGATGGCCAGCCTTTCTGCAGCGTGTGGGAACTAAGAAGGGAGAAGTAGGGCTTCCCTGGCGGCGCAGTGGTTGAGAGTCCACCTGCAGATGCAGGAGACACGGGCTTGTGCCCTGGTCCGGGAAGATCCCACATGCTGCAGAGCGGCTGGGCCCGTGAGCCATGGCCGCTGAGCCTGCGTGTCCGGAGCCTGTGCTCTGCAACGGGAGAGGCCACAACAGTGCGAGGCCTGCGTACCGCAAAAAAAAAAAAAAAAAAAAAAAAAAAAGAAGGGATAGGTAACAGGCAACCCTTGTCCCGCCTTCTTTAAGGCCCTGGATCTTTCTGTTGATATCTTTGCCTCTCGGAAGAGGGGAGTAAAAGACGTGTTGTACAACCGCACGGGTGACTAATGTGAGACTGAGGGGGCTGTGCTGTGTACTGAGCTCTGAGATCCTTGAGTGGGGGGATGCTCTGTAAACACAAATGGCAGAACCAAGAGCCAGCCAAGTCCAGGCTGTGCTCACACCTCACACTTCCAATAACAACAGTCAAGACACACACAGATGAACCCTGACTAACCTGTCACCTACACTGGAGAAAGGAACAGAGAGGATGGAGAATCACGTGCACCTGGTTTAAGGAAATGACAGCTAGAACTGGAAGAAAGAAAAGGGAAGAGGGGAGGTGATGACCAGGCCCTGCTCGAGGCTGTCTTGCCCACCTGGTCTCAGTCACCCTCCAAGTGGAGCTAAAGCTCACGGGCGGACAGAGGCTGTGACCAGAGCCCTGGCAGGCCACACAGGTGCTGGCCTGCCATCCCACTTGACCTTGGTCTCTATGAAGAGGACACCTGCCTCAGAGACATTTTTATAAAAAAAAGGGAGCACCAAAAAAGTTACCCCTTGTTGAAAAACCAAAACCGGGTCCCCCAGCAAAAGTGAGTGTTTTCTCACTAATTCCGATAAACATGCACATCACAGGAAGCTCCTTTAGACTCCTGGCATCTTTCAGACCTCTAAGTGCAACCGATGGGTTATTGATTCCTCTGTGTTAAAGCCCAACTTGGTAGTGCCCTCCCCCACTTCTACTAATTTTTCACTCATTATTTCCATCTTCACCTTTGAATTCTCTAAAACGGCAATATTTTAAAACACTAAAATGGTTTACTTGTTATCAATCAATATCTGCTTTTCCACCAATTATAATTTCTTTGTAGATTAACAGTTTTTCAGCTCCAGAAACATGATTCTGTCCTTTTAATATGCCCACATCAGCAAGCTCTCACAGGAAATCTGGAACGGACGGCAAAGAGCAGTGGTGGCAGAAAGACCCTTAGGCTCTGAAATTCAGACAGGAATGCCATCCATCTTCCTCTACCACAACCAAAAGACAGCCCTCCCCGCCAGAACCGAATATGTCAGATATCAGCCGCCTCTGAGGACTGAGGCTCTGAATTTGATTTCAGCTAACTTCCACTTCATAGAAAAGCACTCGACTTTATTCCCCCTGTAACTCAGACCTGGATAAGCCAAGCAGTTCTCCAGAAACACATCTGAAGGAACAACTGTGCATCCCCTCTCCACCGTCAACATGCACGGGCATGCCTGAACACACCACCTCCCAAGGCAAAGAGAAAGTTAACTTTCAAATAAAGCTGTCCTGCAGCCAGTCTGGTCACATTTCCAGACCCTTTACATTCACAAAGGTGGTTCTTGCAACTCTGGCCTAAATCCAGAAGCTGAAAACTGACCTCTCCCTCCTGAGGGCACAGACCAGGGTCAAAGGTCCACAAACACACGTTCGCCACAAATACACCACTTTCTTTCTCTCTCTCTCTCTTGGCCAAAGTGAGAATAATGGGCCAGGCTTATTGTCTTTCCTTCAGAGAAGCCAGGATGGGCGGCTGGTGGGAAGCTCCAGACAGAATGTGGGTGTGTGAATCTATGCAGGCTCCACAGAGGAATTTTCTGGGAACTCCAGGGGTTTTGAAGAAGGGTGGTCTCAGGCTGGGACACAGGGGCTCCTCGGATTCTCGGGTGCCCCAGAAGTGTGGGGTGTAGGGGGGGCGTAGTGGCAAGGCTATCCTGCCAGCCAGGCTCCCCTTCCCTGCCGTCCCAGGCCCTCCCCACCACGGCGGGGTCACTCACCGCCCGTGAGCTGTGCAGGGCCGAAGCACAGCGCCAGCTGAAACCACAGGATCACGGCCAAGAGTCTCTGGGGGGACTGAGGCTGCTGCTGCTCTAAAAATCCATCTCCATTGCTCGGGTTCATTCCATGATACATCTTTCATCCACAGAGGGCATCCGGCTTGCAAGAGTCTGCGACCAAGAGCGAACACGACGATACCCCAGGCTGCCAGGGCGCCGGGGGCCACGCTCCCCCTCCTCCGCCCTGGGACCGGGACCCTCGGCTTCCCCTGCTCCTTTCCCATTCCTCACCCGCGCGGCCCCCGCCCCCTTTCCCACTGCGAGCTCCCCCCTCTTCTCCCCAGCGCGGGGTACACTGAGTAACTGCCGCCGCGGGATGCTGCGCGTGCGGGAGGGATGGAGGAGGGGTGGGAGGGCAGGGGTTAGCGCACATTGGCTCCGTGCCGGTCCCCCGGATTCAGCGGCTGTGACCACGACAGGAAAGTCTAAAGCCTTCCAGCCTCTCGGGGCTGAAAAAACACTTTTCCCCGGGCCTACACATTTCACTCCTAGCAATCTCACGAGGTGGCACCGGATCCCCCCAGCTACTTCTCTGGTTTTCCCCAGGATCGGGATGGGTCCTACTGCCCAGTCCCCAGTGAGATTTCTCTGCGCTGTCAAAAAATTCCTCCCTCGGGGAGCAGAACCAGGCACCAACTCCCCCTCCTCGGCCTGCGAGCGCCTCCCCGGGATGGAAAGCCCCTTCCGGGGCTCTCGGTCTTACCTGTGGGTCTCATGCATGCAGCTTCCTTCCCTCCTCCGCCTCCTCCCCCCGCCAGTCTAACCCGCATCTGTGCGCGACCTCTGCTGCCGCCGCTGCGCGAGCGAGCGAGACGGAAGCCGCGGCGGCGGCGGCGG